ATACTCTTCGACATGTCTACCAACAAAGAGGTTTCCTTATATGACAACCTTCCAACATAAGAATGACTCTCAAGATATTCTGCAGCAGGATGATTATGCACACCACAAACAACTATCAAGATCCAGTCATCATTTGTGGCTAATTTTTTGCCCTTTAATAAAAAAGGACATTCACATTTTTTTGTACCAGTCAGTCTTGCTTTTTTTGTCTTAGGCCTGCTGTTTTTTCGAGTGTCCTTATAAGATCTACTCCTCTCACAAGCTAGGCTAAGTCTTGGCTTGCTACCGCGAATACCACCCCCATTTGATTTCTGCATGACAACAACGAATCCATTTCTTCTTCCAACTTGACATGCTCATCGAATTAACTCATCTCGACTCTTGAAATCTGAAATAAATAAATTAAACTAACCAATTATTGCATATAAAAAAGGACAAAAAAGGTACATTATTTGTAAAACAATCAAAGACTCATCTCATGAGTAACAAATTCATTACTATAATCTATTACAAGCTCTGAATCAACCTTACTGTCTCTAGTCGAAATATCACCTTGAAAACACGTGTGAATGTAATTTCAAAATTGAAAAAATAATGTTTAGTTGAACAGTCCCCGAACTAATGCTTTTGTTTAGTTCAACAGTGCCGAAACTAAAGATGATATTCGATTCAACAGTACTGACTATATGCATTAATGTTCAGAACCTATGTATTGAACGAAAGTATTATGTTCAGTACTGTATTACCGAACATAATCCTAACAGTCAACAAACTAGTACCGAACAGATCAAACAAAAGAAGATCGACTGAAAACCACCGAGAATGTTAATGTAAGACAAATAAACTTACCAATGGAACGTCGGTTTCATTAGAATTGTTGTCATCGTCCTCCATTGCTCTATACAGTGAAATAAGTGATGAAGCGTACGTTATACTTGAAGCAAAACTTTCAAGTTCAATAGGGTTGATGATGGTGATGTAGATGACACATTTAGGGTTTAAGATGATTATAAAAAATAATAGATTTAGGGTTTATGTTGGTTGATTATGAAGAGTAATAGGTTTAGGGTTTACAAACATGGAATATGTATAGTTGGAGTTGAAGGTGGAGGTGGGGGTGGGGGTGGGGGTCTAATATTATAGAGTATTAGTTCTTATTTGATAGGTGGATGCTCCATTTAATAATGTCTTTTAATGAAATTTTATTTTAGGGTATAATTGTAATAAAAATAATAATAAATTGAGAGTCCAAAGAATTTTGACAAGTGCTAACAGCCGTACTCTTTTTTCACATCATCTAAAATCTGGACACAATATGGAGCTTAGCAAGAAGGCCAAAAAACAAAAAATGGGCAACCTTTAATTTGATTTTTATTTTTATTTTTATTTTATGAACAAGAAATTCTTGGGTTTTTATTTGTGGCAGATCTGTCCTTGAATATTTATCGAATAAGCTTGAAAGGGCTTCATGAAATATTTGGATTGTGTAAAATTTGGACACTGTTTTTGTTTATTTATTCTGAATGGAATAACTGAAAGAAAACCCTTAAATGAAGCTCTGAGCAAGTTTAGGTGCTTACCTTTTAAAAAAAATTGGAGGGAGGATTCGTAACTTTAAGTAAGAATAATTCCTTCTTTTTTTTTTTTTGTGGTGAAACATCAATAAATCCCAAAATGTGACTTTGTAAACTGTTTAATTCTCTCTTTTTTTCTTATGAATTCAAAGGTCCTATTAAAGTAAAAATTACATAAAAAGGTAGTCACTTACATATTTAGGTTTAATTTTTTAGAAATAAAAGTGGGTTTATCAAAATGTAAAATTACATAATTGGGCAATTTGCACTATAGAAATTTTTGGATTTTTCCTCATTCTAGAACATCTCACATTACAAACAAAAACCTAATATTCTAACGTAATACTTCAATGTAACACACTAAAAAACTCGTTGGTGTACTTTTCCCAAACGTAACAATGTAACACTAAAAAAAAAAAAAACTTCTTTGGTTTACCTTTCCTAAATGTAACACTCCAATGTAACACAAAAAAAAGAAAAAAAAATTCTTAGTGTACTTTTCTCAAACGTAATACTTCAATCAGTAAAATCCCCAACGTAACATTTCAATGTAACACATATACTTTTTTCAAACGTAACACTCGTAACGTAATTTGAAATTATACATTTTTTCAAAACTTACTAAGGAATAGTTGTACTCCTTTTGGAATGGTTTGAAGAATCTCACATTTTTTTTTTAGTGTTACATTAGAATGTTACGTTTAGAAAAAGTATACTAAGAAGTTTTTTTTGTTGTTACATTAGAGTTTTACGTTTGGAAAAAAATATACCAAATAGTTTTTTTTTTTATGTGTTATACTAAAGTGTTACACTAAGGAATTTTTTTAGAGTGTAATATTGAAGTGTTACGTTTGGGAAAAAATATACTAGGGTAGAATGTTACACTAAGGAGTTTTTATGTGTTACATTAGAGTTTTATACTAAGGAGTTTTGTTAAATTATTATATTAGAGTGTTACATTAGGAAAAAATACACTAAGAAGTATTTTGTGTGTGTTACACTAAGGAATTTTTCTGTCTGTTACATTAGAGTATTACACTAAGAATTTTTTTAGATTATTATATTAGAATGTTACATTTGAGAAAAATACACTAAGAAGTTTTTTTTGTATGTTACATTAGAGTGTTACATTAATGAGTATTTTTGGAGTGTTATATTAGAGTGTTACGTTTGAAAAAAAAAAAAAATACACTAATGAGTTTTTTTGAGTGTTACATTAGAGTGTTACAATAAGAAATTTTTTTATGTATTACATTAAGAAGTTTTTTTGAAGTGTTATATTAGAATGTTAAGTTTGGGAGAAGTATAGTAAGAATTTTTTATTTTTTTATTTTTTTTTTGTGTTACATTAGGGTATTACACTAAGATTTGTTTTTTGAGTGTTACATTGGAGTATTACGTTAGAGTATTTGAGTTTGAAATTATATATTTGGTCAAAACTTATCAAGTAGTTTTTGTACTTCTTTTCAAATATTTGAAAAATCTCATATCCTTTTGATATGTTTGAAAAATTCCATATTTTAAATCATTTTTGTATTCCTCTTGAAATGTTTTCCAAATAAAAAAATTGTTATATAAAAATTCATCTGAATAAAAAAAAACAAGAAAGAACGATAAGGAACGCAATAGAAATAAGCGTATAAACGTAAATCTAATTTTTAAATAATATATTAAATTTACGTTTCCAAAATTAATGGGACTAATTGGTTTATATAAAAATCCAAACGACTAAATAGATTACCATTCCTCAAGATGGGATTTATAAGTAAATTTTCCTTTTTATTTTTATTTTTTTTTTACAATTAAAAGATATGTAGAAACTGAAAAAAAAAGTGCCCTTTTATTGACTTGGTGCCTACACGGAAAATAAAAAATTCATTTGGTGGAACTCACCCCTGCTATAAAGAGTTTCGCCGGACATGTATAATATAGTATTTACCGTACATAGGAGACTTGTGCGGAAAGTGAGGGTGCCATAGCTCCAATGTAGTTCCACCTTGTATATAGTTAACTAAATCGCCATGCCTAACATAACTTGCATAGCTAATTGACTTGCTATATAACAAAGCCTGGTCTCTTTTGAGGAGGAGAAAATTATTACTCAGCAAAATAGGAGGAAATTGAGTGTATTAGGCATGTTCCTGTGTCTAAATGTCAACTTTTTAGTGATGTTGATTCAATGGTGTTAAATGTTTTTTTGCAGATTCAAGTCATTGTCTGTTGGATGTCTCACATCCAAAGAATTAGATCAAAACGCATGAAGCGAGCAAACCCTTGAGTGAGCTGAGCTGACACAAATAGCATTGCTAAATCTTGACAATGCCATTTTTTTGGGCCAAGCTTTTTGGCATGCGATTGGATAGGGTTTTTTGGATGGAGCTGTAGTTGCCATCACTGCACTAGTGGTTAAAATTGCAGTTAACAGTGGCTGTTATTGCCTTAGAGCATAATACCCTTCAAATTTACTGCACATATGGAGTAAATCCCATAAAGAATACAAGTAAAACAACAGAAGAATCTATTTGAAGAACAATGTTCTTCAATAATAGATCCTTGATGCAAATAACCCAAATAGCATTAAAATGAACTGGGACTCTAGTTTTCATCTAACCCAACATGGAGTAGCCATGCCTTGGTCTCCAGAAGGGATTCTGGTCTTGAATATTTGCTGATTCTGGTCTCTGCTTATTCCCATCGAACCTGGTTTGGTCATAATCCGGAAAGAAAGGATTATTTTTGAAGCACTTGTAAGCGCGATCATCCTTCAAAGGGCTACTATGCTTTGCTTGCTTCGTTGTAAATGAATTTTCCTGAGGAGCAAAAAGATTTGGGTGACAGTTTTCATCATCATCGAATGTTGCCCATCTTTTGGAGCCGTTCTGTTTCTCCCTGGCAGCATTTCTCAAACCCTCCATTTCTCCAACATGGTCCTTGAATTCTTTTTTGACCACATTTAACACGACATCACCATAGCGATCACACCAAGACCTAATTTCAAAGAAAAAAAGGGAAAGATATCAAAGTTAAATATAGTGATCTAATTGGCATCTTAGCAATGTGAATTTTGTAACAAGGTTGAATGAAAGTAAGAATGTTGGCTCACTTGGGAAAGAAATTTTTCAGGTCAGCCTTGTCAACTGGAAGCCGGGTAGAGATAGCTTCGATTTGATCATTTCTAAAAAGAATCACGTGAAACAAATAGTAAATCTATGAGCAATCATGGGATGTAAATATTGATAATAATAGAAACAAGGAATTCAAGAGGTTGGTTTAACAGAAAAACTAACGAAAACTGAAGATTCGGGTTTTTAGCATTGAGTTCTGTTTGGATTCGTGAAAGCTCCTTCTTTATTTTATCGCTTAAAACCTGCATGTTAAAGAAAAAAAATTTGATATACTACTTTTGTAGAAACAAGTTACTGGTAACTACTAGTCTAGATGCAATTAGCTATGAAGAAAATGAATGCTACTACTCAAAACGTGACCTTATCAATGAAGAAAATTAGCTATGAAGAAAATGAACGCTACTACTCAAAATATAACCTTATCAATGAAGAAATCCGACGGTGAGCCATTGGAATGTAACTTCCTCTTGATTTGCTTGGTGTCCGGTCCCTCCCCAAAAGGACTATCTACAATCTCGCATGATTCCAAAAATGCCTCGCTATCTGATCTTTCACTTAGAGGCAGAGGAGCTGATTCATCTTCCGACTCATTTTTCTTCCATTTCTTGAACCCATCAAATCCCCATTGCTTCTTCCCCGATTTTGATACCTTTTCTTCACTATCATGACTATGATCACTACATTCATGTCCCTCCCTCTGAAACAGAGTCCCAAATATCTTCTTCTTTCCCCTTTCACCCCCACTTCGGTTCTCTACCTTCATGGACTCAGGTGGCAAGCTCTCTGACATGAGGACGGACCGAGTTTCACTTTCTTTCTCTCTTATATGACTATTCCAAAAAGGGTTTTCTTTAGAGAGACCTAATTCATTCTTAGAAGCGGCAGAGGATGCACTTATTTGATCAATCAGCCCAGAATGGTCCGGACCAGGATCGATTAGGCCCTTATCTTCCTTGCTTCTTCCACTTTTGTGAGATGATGCAAAGCCAAATACAGATGTTGATCCTTTAATTTGTTTCATAGCTGAACCGTGCTTCGATTTGGTCTTTGAATTTGAGCTCTCTTTATTAAGTAGGCAATGCTCATCTTTCAAATCAATTACAGACCACTCTTCCCCTGAACTCCCTTTCGGTGCTGCAACTATCACATCTCGTGCCTCGATCTCTGCTCCTTGAACTGCTAGGCTCTGTAACAAAGGCCTCTTCGATGAATGGTACTCGTCCTCTGATATACATTTTGCATACAACAATTCCTACGAGGAAGAACAATCAAAACGGTGCTTTATTTTTGCAAGTTGAATTCAATTTGTGGTCCAAAATCAACTACTTTTACAAATCAAAGCTAACAAAACAGATGCGATTAATATTTTCAAAAATTAAGCCAATTATGCAGAAAAATCAAGAAAATCAATGAATCATACAAGGAAAGCAATTGGTACATACAAATTAAAGCTATTTTCACAAATCGAATCTACAAAGGCAGATATCCAATTTATATTTTGAGAAATTAAACAATTGAGCAGACCCAAAATAAAATGACATTAAAGGACAGCTCATCATGCAAGAAATCAGCTAATTTTTCAAGACTTCAGAACATTTTAGGCAGCAAATGCAAAATCGGAAAAATGAATCAGCAACAAGATGAGCTGAAAGGACCGGAGATCTAATCATACAACAAAATCAGTAGGTATTCACAACATCATTCAAATTTATGTAGTAAAATTAATTTTACTAGTTGCTAGAGCTATTTATGTAATAGAATCTACTATAAAATACACAAAATTTACCTATTAAAGAATCAACAACAAGATGAGCTCTTTAAGAAATCCAATTATTATTTTCAGCTGTTGACTCGAATTAAGGAATAAAGAAAGTACCCATTCAGAACCCACCTGCAAAAAGACCAACTTATCTTTTATAATAACGGGTTGTTCAAGATCAGCCGGCGAAGCAACGAGGGTATCGAGAAGATGAGACCGAAAGGCAGAGACCTCTGTTTCTGGCAAAATTCCTTCCTTGGAAAGACCCATCAGCTTGAGGATCTGGTGAAATGAATCTTGCTGCCATTTCAGATTATCTGATTGTTGCTTCGAAAGCCTTTGCTCCGCTGCCACAATTGCCGGTAAGCGCCGCTTCTTGAAGGAAAATGGGAGGATATTCTTGCAGATGGAGGTGATCGAGTCATGGAGGGAAGTGTAGTATGTTGGTGTGTATGATGTGTAAACCATTTTTGAACAGACCTCGATTTCTTGTAGAGAAATTGAAGTGATCTTTGCTGGGTTGGGATTTACCGGGGCTCTGTTCTGAATTTGATTTGTGAGATTTGTAACTTTATGTTTGAATTAAATGTTTTTTTCTATGTTAGATGGAAGGTCTTATTCAGGGTTTTTGAATTTTAGATGCTCTAAAACGGTCACTTGAAACTAGCCGTTGGGGTGGTTTTTAACGTTGCGGACCGAAACGGCGACGTGTTCTCTTGGTTAATCACAATAGAGCCTTCGAGGCTTCTGGTCCATGTTATGCCAAGTGGTTGGGGGCCCTACCAGCTTTCAGGACAAACATGTTGGTCCATTGCGAAAAAAAATTATTGGTTAGTCTAGAAGTATTATGTGACGATATTTTTGGCCAATTACAAAATCTTATGCCTATTTATATTATCTAATTATCCAGCACAAAATCATGAGCCCCACCCCTTCAGCCAATCAAAGCACACTTACAATACCACGTGACTGTACCCTAAGATCAATTAATAACTTCTCCATTGCGAACATTATCATCTTAATGGTTTATTTTGTTGTCATAACCATTTGATTTTCTCATATTTGTTTTCAAGAAAATGAATAATTTATTTTTCAATTATACTAATCTTATTTTATTTTCAATATAAATATAATGAAATTATGTGATTATAAACATCAAATAAATCTAATTTATTATTTAAAATAAATTAGAGATAAACTAATGTGGCATATGGGAAATAAATAAGTCAAAAATGGATTCGACCTCAGAATCATTGAAATTTTATATTTTGATGGATTTGAAATCACCTTACAAAATTCATTATTTAAAATCATCCTAACGATTTTCTTTTTGACTATAAGGTGGTGTTTAATTGTGACGTCCCAAATTTACAAGATCCAAACCTATGAGGATATTCCTGAATTAGAAATAAAAGATAATAATAATAATCAAATGCTATCTTCCGTGTATACATAAATATCATTCAATACATGAGGTTGGTTCATCACATACATCATATATTCAACATTTACTTAGCGTGAATGTACAGTATGTAAACTAAAAAGATAAACATTCAACTACAAGAGAAATGCCAACATGCTTACATAAAATAAAAAGGGGCTTGACCGTAGGGGCGACTCTACAGGCCAAGGTGGGTGACACCATGAATTTTTATTAATATATATATATATATATATGCATGTAATTCAGTCCAAAACTTTATGTTGAACACCTTGAACATCTTAAATTTTTTTAAATATATATATATATGTGTGTGTAATTCAGTCCAAAACTTTACGTTGAACACCCTAACCTTCTTTTTTGAACACCCAGTCTAGTTGAACATCTACCCAGCCCACTTTCTTAAACCTCTAACCCAACCCAACCCAACACAACCTGACCCATAACCCTTTAATCAATATATATGCTTTGTGATGTGAACAAACGACATGTTTTGGAATTTTGCTTCCTTAGCCTATGCAGAGTACCTTTTTGACAAAATTATCTGATTTTTCAATTCCCAACAAGTGTACCCACTTGAACGTAAATGTTGATCAATAGTTTTATAACTTATCTCAATTTGAATTAAATGAGTTTTTTTATGTTTTATTTTTTTTTATCATGCTAGTGATAAAAACAAAATATATTTATGTAAATTTTTTGTATCTACATTTTATTTTTTGAAACAATGATATCAATAGATTAGAATTTTATTTTATTTATTTATTGATGTGTGATATGAAAAGTCTAAAAAAATTAAAATTTTAAATGTCTACCCTAGAAAAAATTCATGGAGTACCACTATGAATACCTTGAAAAATTTTATAGAGTCGGCACTACTTGACCCTTATAAAAGATGGCACTCGACCTACAAAATATAAAGGCCCTAGGCCAACAATTGAAGAGTTCTCTCTCTTACTCATGCACATACGCCATGCCATGTCAAGTTCATGGCACGTCATCAATACTTAAAAATTTATTTACAACATAGAGTGAACAAACAATACAGTAGAGAATTCTTTCTATCTACCAATATGCATCTACACAAACATATGATCATGATGCTATATATATATATATATAGGATGCTCAAATCAATTTTCTAACAATGCTAATGTTCAGTTCTTAAATCACAACTTTATTAATGTTTGATAAGAAAACCCAATTCACAACTGATTTCCTTACAATCCGGTGAATCCTACCTAGGTACATATGTCGGTTAGTGGCCATCGCTAAGTATCACTTAATCAATCCCCATTTTGCCGGTTGCTAATTGGAAAGACAAATGGGCACCTACGTCGTGTGAGTTTCCAGTCTTTCACCGTGAACTCTGTCACCAACTTAATTTTATTTCTCTATACCTTACCTAGATTCACCACAACCATTTAGTTTAAAAACAATGATGTTTAAATCTCAATGCAACTCATTCATTTTCTCAATTTGTAATCCAAAACGTGTTCAACAACACCTTCATTCAACAATAGATTTTCAATTCATGAATTTAGCAATTCAATATTTATTAATGAGTTTTATTCATCCTATGATGATGATTCATACATCAATTCCATTCTCCACCAATGGCCAACAATCAAGTTTGTTAGATCCCTTGTTTGTCAATTCCAAGAATAAACACATTTGAGTTGTATTGTTGTTAGATTGGTTTGCCTTCAGAATCAACCTTTTTAGCCTATCTATTTTCATGGACCACTCGAGTGGTCGAGTTTATTCTCGAGCGCTGAAATGGATCATATACTAGGAGGTTGCATTTACCACTTGAGTGTGCATTCTTGCGCTCGTGTGAAGTGATAGGTGTGAAGTTTGTTAACACCGCCTTTTAGACACATCGCTTGTCACGACCTAAACCTACCCCTAAAGGTTTAGGTCATGACCGACCAATAATTTCAGATTACCTTCAGCCTCAATAACAAGATCATATCATAATGTAAATGGGACTTAGCGGAAACAATAACAAAACATAATTAAGTCCATTGAGCAGTGCTTATATGATAACTTTATCAATAGAAGATGACATACATTATACCAAGATATATAATTTACAACAAACTTCTTGTTCAACTTCATACATGACTTGTCTTACAATATACATGATACATAAACAAAAAAAGCAAGGTGAAAGACTTCTACAAAAGGTTAACAAAACTTGGCTCCACTTGAGTTCAAGTACGCCCCATCATGGAGGCACTCCAAAACAGCTTCAAATGCGTAGACTCGGAGGTTTCTCTAATCCTGATGATCCATGTGCCCACCTATATCTATATAAGGGAGAGGGGGTGAGCTGGAGCCCAGTAAGTAACATCAATATAAAGGATTTAATGAATGAAGTCCATGATTTCTTAAGCATATCTTTTCAATAACCAAAAGCAATTCAAATAACAGTCATATGTTCAATCATGTCACTATTTTGCATTAACAATAACTATTCAAATCAATATACGTGGTAACATCCAATATAGTAACAATAAACCGATGTACGAAATCCAATGGGACCATTAAGGTCAATTCGATGGGACCACAATGGGTCATTCAATAACATCACGACGGGTAATTCAATGTGGACCACTAGGGTCTAACATTAGAGATCTCTGTGTTTCAATTAATCCAATCGGCCACGGTATTTTTTTCCCCAAGCGAGGCCCTCATTAAAGGATATTATGATTACAAGTTCAAAAATGATCTTCATTCATAGAAAACAAAATAAGATTTCAAAATAACATTCTTAACTGATTCAAAATACTTTTCGAACATAGCTCTATAAAGACATTACTTACAGTGGGTTGCACTGATATTAAGCCTCGGGTGACCACCTACACAAAACACATAGTAAAGGCACACATTGAAACACGTCTTAATCAAATGTTCTATTTTAATTCAATTCTCTTTAATGTGTTTCTAATTCAGTTCCTTATTAATGATGTCTAAACAATGCCCAAGAATGCCTAAAAGAACATGAGAATGAACATATGCACTTAAAAGCATTTTCAAAAGTTGCTAAAACATGGCAGCTCACTTGAGCACTAGATTGGTCACTCAAGCGGACCCTTTGGTCTGCAAAAGTTTTGGTTGGTTGAAATGTAGGCTCAATGATTGCTTGAGCCAAGTAGCATGAAAGGTGAGTTCGCTTGAGTGGCAATTTCGTCGCTCGAGCCATGTGTAATGTGTTTGCAAAATACTGGATGCATGCGAAGTGTGCTCAAGCGACAACATCATCGCTCGAGCGAAGTGGTTGAATTCTGAAATTTCTAGAGCAAATTTGAAGTTCAAAAGTATGAATTTAAGTTGAATAACTTGCATGGCTGGACCCAAAAACATGGAAAACTCATGGATAAACATATTAATAACCTAATTTGAAACCATGAGCATAGAAATAACATGAATTGCAAATTTCGAAACTAAATTCTTCATGCATGTATGTAATCATTTTCAAACTCGCTTCAAAATCTTCAACACATGAAGTTAAACCTTTGAAAACTTGGAAGTCTTTGATGCATGTAAAATTTAACCCTTAATTTAACAAGAAAACTAGAATTCAAACTAAAAATGATTGAATGTGATGGAAGTATGCATGCATGTCCATAATCTAGTTCATGTTTACTAAATTCAAGGTGATTCTAGCATTTTCTTTTCAAATGAATGCAATGATCCTACATACTTTATGAATTCAACTTCTACATGGATTATCTACAAGAATTATGGTCGTAATTCATACCTAGAGCTTCAATTTGGAGTTTTACTCTACAAATCCTTGAATTCTTCTACTCCTCTTCACAAATTCTTCTCTTTCCTCTCTAGTTGAACTCTCTCTCTTCCTCTCTATAATTTTAGCTCAAATATGATGAAGAATATGAACTCAATAAGCTTATATCTCATATATATAGGCTAGATTAGTTTAAGCTAATTAAGTATGATTAAGGCTAATTAATCTAACTTAATTCTAATTAATCCTAATCAATTCTAATTGATTTATTCCAATTATTTTGATCCAAATCAAATTTTAATCAAACTTACTGTAGACATCCCATTTTGACTAGCCTTAAGACTTGGGTGCTTTCTTTTGATTACATGATGATGAAAATAAGAATATGCTATCTCACAAAATTCTCAGCGAAAAGATGGAATTTAA